AACATGGCACATGTATACATATGTAACAAACCTGCACATTGTGCACATGTACCCAAGAACTTAAAAAAAAAAAAAGGACATTGGGAGAACAAATGCCCTCAGCTAAAAGGAAAACAAGGTGACTCAGAGCAGGAGGTCCCAGACAAGGAGGAAGGGGCCCTGCTCAACCTGGCAGAAAGGTTATTGGACTGAGGAAGGTCACTTGCAATCTACCGGAGCCTAAGAGCAGAAGGCAGGTGAGAGAATTCTTAGGAGCTGTGGGGTTTTGCAGACTGTGGATCCCAAACTTTGCAGCATTAGCCAAGCCTTTGTATGAGGTCACAAAGCGGGGGACCAGGAACCTTTTGAATGGGGCTCCCAACAACAACAAGCCTTCCATGAGTTAAAGGAAAAACTTCTGTCAGCCCCAGCCCTGGGGCTACCCAATCTGACAAAGCCTTTTACATTGTATGTGTCAGAGAGAAAAGATGGCACTTGGAGTTTTAACCCAAACTGTGGTGCCCTGGCCGAGGCCGGTGGCCTACCTCTCTAAACAACTAGACAGGGTTTCTAAAGGATGGCCCCTGTGTTTGAGGGCCTTGGCAGCAACTGCCCTGCTAGTACAAGCAGCAGATAAACTGACTCTTGGGCAAAACATGAACATAAAGGCCCCCCATGCTGTGGTGACCTTAATGAATACTAAAGGACATCATTGGCTAATGAATGCTAGACTCACCAAGTACCAAAGTTTGCTCTTGGATTTTACACAGTGAAAATCCCTGAGTAACCATTGAAGTTTGTAACACCCTGAACCCTGCCACCTTGCTCCTGGTATCAGAGAACCCTGTCGAGCATGACTGTGTAGAAGTGTTGGACTCAGTTTAGCAGACCTGACATCCGGGACCAGCCTTGGGCATCAGTAGACTGGGAACTATACATGGATGGGAGCAGCTTCATCAACCCAGAAGGAGAGAGATGTGTAGGGTATGTAGTGGTAACCCTGGACACTGTTGAAGCCAGATCGTAGCCCCAGGGCACTTCAGCCCAGAAAGCTGAACTCATTGCTTTAATTTGGGCCTTAGAACTCAGTGAAGGTAAGACTAAACATTTACACTGATTCTCGGTATGCCTTTATAACCCTTCAAGTGCATGGAGCATTATATAAAGAAAAGGGCCTATTGAACTCTGGGGGAAAGGACATAAAATATCAACAATAAATTCTGCAATTATTAGAAGCAGTATGGAAAGCCCACAAGGTGGCAGTTATGCATTGCAGAGGACACCAGCGAGCCTCCACCTTGGTGGGTTTGGGGAATTCCCGTGCTGACTCAGAGGCTTGAAAAGCAGCATCTGCCCCCTTCCGGGCATCAGTCAGAGCCCCCCTACTCCCTCAAGTACCTGATCTTGTACCTACTTATTCTAAAGAAGAAAAGGACTTTCTCCAGGCAGAGGGAGGACAAGTTGATGAAGGAAGAATGGATTCGGTTACCACATGGGAGAGTAGCTGTGCCATGGCTGCTAGGAGCCGCAGTTGTACTGACTGTGCATGAAACCACCCATTTAGGTCAGGAGTCACTTGAAAAGTTGTTAGGCCAGTATTTCTACATCTCGCATTTGCAGCCCTTGCCAAAACGGTGACGCAGCTGTGTGTTACCTGCTGACAGCATAATGCAAGGCAAGGTCCAGCTGTTCCGCCCAGCATACAAGTTTATGGAACAGTCCCCTTTGAAGATCTCCAGGTGGACTTCACAGAGATGCCAAAGTGTGGAGGTAACAAGTATTTACTAGTTCTTGTGTGTACCTACTCTGGGTGGGTGAAGGCTTATCCAACACGAACTGAGAAAGCTCATGAAGTAACCCATATGCTTCTTCGAGATCTTATTCCTAGATTTGGGCTGCCCTTACGGATCGGCTCAGATAACAGGCTGGCGGTGTTTGTGGCTGACTTGGTACAGAAGACGGCAAAGGTATTGGGGATCACATGGAAACTGCATGCCGCCTACCAGCCTCAGAGTTCCGGAAAGGTGGAGCAGATGAATCGGACTATCAAAAATAGTTTAGGGAAAGTATGTCAGGAAACAGGATTAAAACGGATACAGGCTCTCCCTATGGTATTATTTAAAATTAGATGGACCCCTTCTAAAAGAATGGGATATTCCCCTTATGAAATATATCATAGGCCCCCTCCCACATTGCGGGGACCTTCAGGCACTCCCTGAGAGTTAGGTGAAATTGAGTTACAGCTACAGGCTTTAGGAAAAATAACACAATCTCAGCCTGGGTAAATGAGAGATGCCCTGTTAGCTTATTCTCCCCAGTTCACCCTTTCTCCCCAGGTAATTGAGTGTGGATCAAGGACTGGAATGTAGCCTCTTTATGGCCATGGTGGAAAGGACCCCAGACTGTCGTCCTGACCACTCCCACCACTGTGAAGGTAGAGGGAATCCCAGCCTGGATCCACCACAGCCGTGTAAAACCTGCAGCACCTGAAACCTGGGAGGCAAGACCAAGCCTGGACAACCCTTAAAGAGTGACTCTGAAGATGACAAGCCCTGCTCCAGTCACACCCGGAAGCTGACTGGTCCATGCACAGCCGAAGCATGAGGAAGCTCACTGTGGGATTCATTTTTCTTAAATGTTGGACTTGTACAGTAAGGACTTCAACTGACCTTCCTCAGACTGAGATAGGGCAAAAACTTGAAACAGTCTTGTTGTTTAAAAGGGACTTGTGAGTATAATGCCACCCAGTACAAGGTATGCAGCCCAGGAAGTGACCAGCCTGATGTGTGCTATAACCCATTAGAACTACTTGATCCCTGTTAAAAAACAGAGTATGTAACTCTAGGAATCAATGGAACTGGACTGGCAGGAAGACCTGGATAGTGAAGATGAGAGTGAGAACTCCCACTAGTGAGTGAGGTTCTGAAAGGGGGGAATGAGGAGAGAAGCCATTTCTTTTACTGTCTCCTATCTCTGAAGAGGAGAAAGTAAAAGTTAAAAAACGACAGGAATGAAGTCAGTGGCAAGACCAGCCAGTGCCACTGACCAGGCCTGAGGTTACTTTTAACCCCCCACTCTAACCACATGTGCTCTCAATCTATCACGACCCTTTCAAGTGGAACCCCTTAGAGTTGTAAGTCCTTAAAAGGGCCAGGAACTCTGTCTTCGGAGAGTTTGGCTTTTGAGACGCAAGTCTGCCAACGTTCCTGGCCAAATAAAAAAACCTCTTCTTTCTTTAATCCGGTGTCTGAGGAGTTTTGTCTGCAGCTTGTCCTGCTACACCCCCACCTTTGAGATCTGATCAAGTTCCTCATTCCCCACCTCTGATGTTCAGCTGTCTCTCCATATACTCAGGGCATTGGTCCAGGACTCCCACCTATACCCAAATCCACACGTACTCAGGTCTCCAGTCAGCCTTGTGGAACCCAGCTCTCCCTATAATCAGGTTTTGAACTCTACTAATAGCACATTTTCCATCAGCATTTGTTTGAAAAACTTCACATATAACACAATTCAAACCCATATTGTTTAAGAGTAGACTGTGTAAGTCCTAGGCCTGCTTTCAGCAAGCATCCTGTTAGGCCAGTTGAGCCAGAATATTCCCTTCTCTCAAATCCGATCAAGCTCCTCACACCATTCAGTGTACTCAAGGGATTGGTTCCAGGATCCCCCCCAGGTACCAAAACCCGAGCATACTCAGTCGGTCTTGCAGAACCACAAATAGGAAACATTGGCCCTCTGTATATGCAGGTTTCACAACTCACAAATACTGCATTTTCCATCCACATTTGGTTGAAACAAAAATCTGCATCTAAGTGAACCCCTGTTGTTCAAGGGTCGATTGTGTAAGTCCTGGGCCTGCTTTCAGCAAGCAGAGGCCTCGCCTTGACTCTCCTCTTAGAAATGTGCCATCCTCCGGCCCCTCATGCTGCCCCTTGGCTATAAATCCCCATGTCTCCTTTTCAGAGTTGGACTCCATTTATCTCCCCTACTACAAGTCTTAAATAAAGCTTTCCTTACTGTTTTAACAAGTGTCATAATTTTTTTCTTTAATCCTCTTCCCCTACCACCCCCACCTCTCTGGAAAAGTCACCCAGCAAAGTGAGCAGCCCTGTCAACTAAACAAAATTGACTCCTCACCTTGACATTCAAGGCCCCGGGCAATGATCTCAAGACCTCTCTCTCTTACTTGTGCCCCAAACACAGCTTCACTGTTTGTCATACACACCTGGACTCTCCTCCCATTCTGCCATTGCCCAGCCTTTTTCTTCTACCTGGATCGTTTTCTCCCCTTTCTTGAAACCCACCAACTCCAAGTCACAGCAATCTCTCCCATGGTGATCAGACTAATTATCCCTTTGGATTAATTTTCCCCATCTTCCATAACAGAACCTCCCATTTTAGCAGGCACATGGTTCTCTGAGATAAAGCTACATCGAAAGACTACATTTCCCAGCCTGCTCTGCAAGCTGATGTGGTCACATGCCTAAGTTTTGACCAATGCAATGTAAGAAGAGCAAGGTGTGTCACTTCCAGGAAGTGTTCTTACAGGCAACAGGCATTTCTTCCTCCTCCTCTTGCTTCTACCTACTGATGTAACAGCTGGACCTACAACAGCCATCTTGTACTGTGTGAGGTGGCCTTGGCCATGAAAGCTGCACAGAGTTGAAGCAACTGGGTTCCTAACGCCATAGAACGTCATACCAGCCTTGGGCTGTCCCCACCAGAATTGAACATGGGAGAAAAATGACCTTCCATCTCATTTTAGTTACTAGTCTTTTGGAATTTTCTGTAACTAATGCTATTCAGTCCATACCTTCACACCCCTGGAGGTGTGGACTCTAGATTCTTGGGTTTACCATACACACCACATGGAACCATAATTTGCATGTTCTTCCCAAGCTAAACAGTAAGTAATCTAAAGGCTGGAAATGTGTCTGAAATCTCCATCTTCCCCTGCCATGTGAGGCATGAGGCCTCTGTATGCTCCCACCAGCCTTGCAGGAGAAACATGCCCTTACCAGGATGTCTGAGCCCTCAGGGTCCTCCCCTGTGGCTGGGCTGGAGGAGTTGCCGAGTTTGAACATCCAGTACTCCTTGGCAGTGACAAGGAAGTTCCATGGCAGTAGACTGCCAATGCCCAGGCTGAAGAAGATGATGTATGTGCCATAGAAGCGGTCCTCGGGCCTCTGTAGGCCAGGGGGCGGGTGGTCCAGTAGCTTCTCAAGCAGTGCCTCCTGGTCAGCTTGGAGACTGCTGCCTATGGTTCTGTAGGTGGAGTTTGAACTATGCTGAAAGTCGTCCTCTGAAGCAATGGCCACTATTGGAGCAAGAAGGGCAACAGAGACAGGGTAGGTAAGTAGAAACTGAGGCTGGGGACAGCTGGGGACCCACCCAGCCTACAAAATGACCATGCCCCCTCACCCTGGGCTCTGTAAAGTCACTAAAGCCTGGTTGGAGAACTTCATTTTAAGGATCAGGGAGAAAGACAAAAATTAGACCTGGAGAAGGGCA